ACACCTCTCGCCACTACCACCGTCTGTGCATCCTCACCGCCACGCTGAGCCAGCGCGGCGGTGAGTTGCACCTTGGGACACCACCCACCTACTTTCTGTTGTAGTCNCGGTGGTTACCAGGTGCAGTTTGCCGCTTTGCATTGCTGCCGCGGGGACAAGGTCCACATACACCTCTCGCCACTACCACCGTCTGTGCATCCTCACCGCCACGCTGAGCCAGCGCGGCGGTGAGTTGCACCTTGGGACACCACCCACCTACTTTCTGTTGTAGTCTAGCCTGGTTCGCCCGCGAGGGACTCACAAGGTCGATTTCGGCCCCGGCCGAGGAGCAGGCCGGGGAGGGGAAGAGGGGAATGTGTGTCAGTCCTGAGAACACCTCTAGGAGTCGATCCTACAAAGAAACTTGTGACTCTTCCATCGAATTACCCATCCTGGCCACAAGAGGTTCCCAGTTGAGGGTAAATTCTGTGGGTGGAAAGTGTTAAGGAGGACCCGATTCGCAGGGTATCCGTCGATTGACTTTTACCTGAATCAGTACATACACCTTCTTCTGACATACGGTTTAATGTGAAGACAACAACAACAACAACAACTTGCAAGCGAGCTCTTGAATACCATTTGCTCGTTATAGGTGTGCGTGTTCTTTAGATCCTCAGATGGCTCTAGCACTTTCGTGACCACGGGCTGAGAGTCTTTGCTAGATTTTGGCATTTAGCAACTGACATAAGGTTTAATGTGAAGACAACAACAAGAACAACTTGCAAACAAGAACGTGCACGCCAAGAACGCCTCCAGAACCACACACCTAGAAACCCATTTTCAAACTCAAAACAGCAGCGAAACAACACAGCACATGACCACCGCCGACAGGCCGCACAGCACGCGCAACGCAGCAGACTACACTGCAGACATGTCCCTGAAAATAACGATACGTGACGACGAGCATTCAGTTGTCGCCGTAGAGGTAGAGGGCGGCGACGCGTGCATGCGATCAAGTCCAGCCGAAGAACAACGGCAGGAGGGGCAGGAGGAGCAGCAGCAGCAGCAGCAGCAGCAGCAGCAGCAGGGAGAAGGAGGAGAGACCGCAGGAGGAGAAGAAGGAGACGCTCCCCACGAAACTGTGAGATCTTATTTTGATCATGGTTTATCAAAATAAACGTTCAGACAGGATAGTAGTGATGATTGTAGCCTACGTGGTTTTGGAGATTGTGTACAGCAAGTCAGAGGCCGAGGAAGGGCATCACAAAGCATCACACAGCGTGCCGCCTCACCCAACGAGCATGATAGGCCAAGGGTTCTCACGTGCATCCATACAGTGGGGCGTAGGGTAGCTACGGTGTGTTAGACAGGCTTTTGAGTGCTGTGTCCCAAAGTGTACCCGTTTGGGCCTCCAGCACAAAGAGAGGGACAGACAACTTCTGACGCTGGCTCTATTTTCATACGTTCTTTGGTAAAGAAAGTAACTTTCCCGCCGTTTAGATCTTTAGCATCTTACTGTGATCGGTAGAGGGCACATTGAAGAGGCGTCGTGAATGCTGGAACGTACAAAGTGGCTAATGGAGCTGAAATATCGAAGGTCACAGTAAATCAGTCCGAAATCTGCACCTAAACCCACCATTTGTCACAGGCGTGCTCAACGCCACGGACCGTACACCCCGGGACCGGTCGTCAGCAGTAGCTAGTGGCATCAGTTACTGCGGAAACCCGCCTTTCAGGAGATTGGGGTCCGTGGCGGCGAGAACATGCAGTAAAAAACATAGGGTGTCGGTCTACTTGAAATTTTGTGGCGATTGTAGGCCGCCCAAGAACCGGATTTAAGCGCGAGAACACAAGCCGCTGCGAGAAGGTATCCTCTAGTGGTGCGGTAGAATGCATCGTAAAACAATGCGAAACGGGCCTTGTTTTTGTTTTACCTTGATTTCAAAGGAGGCTTGTGGAGGTAGACTCTTGATATGCATGTTTTGAGCAGTCTCTACTGTCGCCCTGTGCGAGAATCAACCACTTATGATTTTCCCGATGCTTTCCGACTGGTCTGATATGTCTCTTGTGCATTTGTTGGTGCTCTTCTAGCGGTTTATTTCAAAGTAGGTCACCATGAAAATTCTTGTTCGTTGTTGCCATCCCTTAAGTTTATCTTGCCTTCAGGCGTACTGACTGATGATTGATTCGTGATTTGCAAATGCTGGTGTGGTGGCAAGTCGTGGAGTTGCCGCCCTAACCTCCACGCCGGGTGTTAGGGAAGTCCATAAGTGTGTCTAATTTTTGGCATCGACTGCGCCGACCGGCTTGACACTGAAAAGATGTCCGTGCCAGCGGGCAACACTTAGTTCGGAAAAAGGGGAGTCTTATGATCCGCTTGGTAGGAAGCAACCAACGGCATCATTTATTTGTTTATTTTGTAAGGAGCGGTTTAGAAAAATAAAAGCAGTGAGTGGGCTGGGTGAGTTACCAACAACACGAGTTACAAAAATTGTGCCAACATGTCATGATACGACGAGCGAAAGTGCGTACGGTGCGCCGACGTGCAAACATGCTGCATAGATAGGTCAGAAGTGTGCGACCATTTGCGACCATTTCCGACGGTGCGCGCTGTTTCTTCCGCTTCTTCAGCGGTCGGTTTGCCGTTTTTCCTGTCTTGATCATCGCTCTTGGTGTCTCCTCAAACAGTTTCGGGAAAAGCCGAATCTCAGGGCATCAACAGCATCATCAGCATCAGCAGTAGATTGATTGTCCTGAGCAGGTTCATCTTCATGCACGCACGCGCACACATAATACAGGACCGGTAATGCATTCATTCAGGAACCCGATGACATTCTTACACATTCGTTCGTGTGTGCCAGCACATGCGGTGTTTTGTCCCGATCTCCTATCTTATTTCATGAATGAGCGTAGTTTCCAGGAAGTATAACTCTATCTCGCCATATGGAAGTGGGATTGACTTCCATGGAAGTTGGTTCAATTTGATTGCAACGGGAGCTCGCCAAGTGACTTCCATGGCCGCTTAGGGAACGTTCGTGGAAGTTAAGTAAAGGGCGGTTCACGAGCGACTTCCATTGGACCTTAAACTTCCGTAAAACCTCATGGAAGTTGACTAGCTTCCATGGAGGTCGCTTGATGAGCTTCCATTGAAAGAAGCCAAATATAACAACTCCCATCGGAGTCGCCCGCCTTCGGGTAGCTTCCTTCCAGGAAATAGGAGTTTCGACTTCCATGGTACGAGGGTGCCCGCTTCCATGAGAGTCATCGTGAAGAGACATAGAGGGCGTCACACCGAGCTTTTCTTTTGTGCCCAAGGTTGTGTTAGAATCTCAGGGTACGCTGGCAGCACCACACCACCAGACGATGTAATCGATTCATACGCATTATCCACTGTAGCTCCATGTACACACACACGCGCACGAATTTTCATGGAAGAACGTACGGTGATTATTATAGCGTCGTACTTCTTGGGTAGTTGACCCATGGCCACGGAAGTAAGCCGCGTCCGTTTGAAGGTACGGGTCGACTGAGCAGCGACCAGACGGCTGTGAATGACGTGAACACAAAGAGATAACGGTGACCGGCAGAGCACCCTCAGCCAGCTGTCGGCGATAAAACCTAGCCCGCGGCTAACCAAAATTGACAAAAAACAAAGTCAGCTTCAGAAAGAGTGGCAGCGCCGACAATATTCGTGGCGTTGATTTGATCACAGTTCTTGGGTGCGGGCCGGTTCTGTACTATGCAGTTCACGTCAATAGGTTGATTTCATGGTTTTCTGTTGACTCTCTTTGCTCCAAGTTCATTGGCTGAATGAGTGTACACACACAAGTACAGTACATGCCCTCTCTCTGGCTGCAACCTGCCGAGATGGGATCTTCTCTGCTTATGCGGAACCTATCGTTCGGGAGTGCTTTCAGCCAGACAATCATGGATGAGGTGTGGCCAGGTACTTTGCAGCGACCATCGTTTGGAGACTGTTTCGACAAGCCAGTCGGCGGAGTCGTGCGGCCGCCCTCTCTACAACGGCTGTCGTTCGGGTCTTCGTTTGACCAGCCATTCGCCGCGACCTTGTGGCCGGCCTCCCTGCAACAGCTATCGTTTGGGAAAAATATTCAACCACCCGATAGCCGAAAGTATTTGGCCGACCTCGTTGGAAGAGTTGTCGTTCGGGAGATGTTTCGACCAACCCATGGCCGGGGTCGAGTGGCTAGACTCCCTCCGGGTTGTGAAGGACAAGGGAGGAGTTGCTGTGGCAGCGGAACGAGTTTGAGTAGCACTCTCGTAGTTGCATGGGAGAGATAGGAGTGAAGAATGGGGGCTGGGTTGTGGGTGGTACATGTTAGGATACCCGGCGCTCGACCGAGTTGGTACGCTGTTTCTGTTTGAATATCTTCCAATGGTATTTCCCTTCATATCGACTCAGGATAATATTTTGAGGGAGCGAGTTCGTTGAACGCAACGGTCAAGCGGGCGCACTTCACGGTATAGCGGTAGTATTTCGGAATCTTTAGCTTCAGTCTCATCTGTCAATATCTGTCGATGGAACTTCAATCCGGCACCCCGACCCTCACCCAATCCCGTCTCATTAGCTCATCTTGAGGTGCTGTGCAGTGCATACCTCGTTGCTCCTCCTAGAGTATAGTTGGGTCGCGAATCTTGACCCCTCCCCGAGATGTAGCAGCTTCCGCCACACGTCACGAACAAGACTCGACTTGTTCTGCTTTGCCATTCGAACGGCGGTTGAAACAGCCAGAGGGGGTCCGTTTCGACACTAGAAAATTACTTCCTTTTTTCTTTTGTGCGGGTGTGTATTTTGCTGGTTGAGAGCATTCTCGATCTGCAGTGCACATCTCGTGGAGCCTCAAGCATGGTTCGGTAGGGAATTGCGGTTGCGGCATATTTGCCCTCCCCGGGATTGAGGAGCTTTTGCTTCCTGTGGCGGGCATACGTGGTGGACAACAACTGAACTTCGTCTGACTGTGTCACCATCTATGAACAACCGCTGAAGCGACAGAGAGGATCTCCACACAATTTTGGTTAGGTGAGAGGTACCGCCAACGCCTTCGGTAGCTTTAGTGAGCTTGAGGGTGTACGGTCGACTGCGGCACAGTCATGTACGTAATATGATGTCGTCGCAACTCTCGAGTATCACCGGCATTGCCTGTTTGAAGCTTTTCAGCGAGGAGGGTTCAAACTCAAGAGTGCCGACAACAGTGCCATGCTCATGTCACGAGGTAGAGAACTCCTGTAGAATGAGATCAACTTTTACTCAATAGAACCATCAAGAAACGAAAAGATACTGTCTTTCCGCCAAGAACAAAAACACCATCCAAACAAGAACGCAGGCGTCAGGTGGTTGGGCAATACTCCGCGGCCATGGCAATGCTGATAGAACCATTGGATCACCGCCGTCCAACAGCTCGGGCATGGCACTGGTACTTCCGATGGAGGTCATGCCGCAAACGGCAACCGCGCAGTGGAAGTTTGTGGAGGCCTTGCGGCTACAGCAGTACACTACCACCACAATCAGATTTGATTCAGTGTTTGGCCGCCGAAGCTCAAGCATCTGGTGTTGGACATGTTAGTGGGAACGGGTTCGCCGTTCAAGGGAAACATGGGGTTGGGAGACGACTTGAACCTCTTGGTGTGGCCTAGCTCACTACAAGAGCTACAGTTGGGCTTTCCATTCAATTAACCTATCGCCGGGACTGTGTGGTCAGCCTCCTTGCGCAATCTATCGTTTGAGGATGGATTCAACAGACCCACCTCCGAGAGTGTATGGCCTAACTCCCTGGAGAAGCTCTCGTTCGGGCGTGCTTTCGACCGACCTATCACCGAAGTCGCGTGGCCGACCTCCGTACAAGAGCTATCATTCGGGGACGGGTTCAACAAGTCCGTTGCGGTGGCCGTGTGGGCGGCCTCCACAAAGCATCTATCGTTCGGGGATGGGTCCAACAAACCCATCGCCGACAGTGTATGGCCTAACAACCTGCAGAGGCTCTCGTTCGGGCGTGCTTTCAACCAACCCATTGCGGAAGTCGCGTGGCCGGCCTCCCTACAGGAGCCATCATTCGGAAATTGGTTCAACCAGCCAATTGACGGGACGGTGTGGCCGGCCTCCTTGCGGGAACTTTCGTTTGG